GAATAACGAAAAAATGTTCAACGTCGAAAGAAAAAACTCGGCTACATATTACACTACCGAAAGGTGAAGTTTAATAAGCGATAGAGCAGTTTAAAAATAATAGAGAGATTTCATTACTGTTTGACATCTAGTAGGTCACGGATTTTTTAAATCAGTTGGTAATTCTTGCGCATCACTGTACACTGTTTAATTTAAAATTCTAAAGTGTCAGATATAATTATAGCAAAGCGTCATTTTGAAATCAAACGTCAAATTTCAAATTGAATTTGACAATCTGTCAGTACCACCAACTTACTTACAAAATGTTGTTACTTTGCACCAAATTTTAAGCATTTTAATTTTTTTTTGTAACTCTTCATGGACCTGGAGAAGGCGTATAGTAACGTTCTTATTAATAAGCGTTTGGAAGTACTTAGTAAAAGCAAATAAAGAGCACTTACGTAAGCATTAGTAATATCTATATAGATAAATCATTCAATTTAAGGCCGGAAAAATGTTTCAGAAGAGCTAAACCCATCAAAGCACTAGAGCTAGGTTATTGTCTTTTACCAACCCTTTTAGTAATCTTAGAAAAGTGAAAAAAGAAGTTGGAAGATATGGAAATAGGCTGTTCACAAAGGTCGAAATTTCCATTTCTCAGAAGAGTGGGCGAGCAGAATAAACTGATGATTGAGAATTAAAGATGAGATGCTAAATGTGGCATGCGACAATAGTCGTATGCAGAACCCCCATTCATTTAAAAACAATGTTTAAGTGAAATTTTAGTATTTGTTCCTTACATATGAAATAATCACTTACAAAAAGCCGAATAACTGTTTTAAATAGCGTAAAGTTTTATACTTTCTAAGAAATGGTTCCGTTAACTTGGTCATTGTTACTGAAAACTGAAAGTATCGACAAGAATGTTTATATTTCTGGCATATTTTTTAACCTTTAATTTAATAAAACATAACCTAACGAAACAAATTCAGGGAATTATTATTCTTCTACATCGAATACCAACAAACTCACTAGATTTTCATGGCCAACCCTATTATATAAAGATCGTGAACAGATAATATTTTTCTTAATTTGGAACCAACTTTCCTTATCCAGTTGGTTAACGATCTAGGACCAACGTTAAAATCGGGAATCTCTGCCATTACTCGGTCGTGCAGCAACTTGATAGTAATGTATTCTTTAGAAACAACCTTTTTATAGATAGTCTCCCGGATTGACATTATATCTAGAAGATTAACTTTTTTCTTTATGTGACTCATTCTTGCCACTTAAACCTCGACTTCTTTATAGCCGGTAGATAAATTTTTCCGAAATTTTTAACATTTCTGTGACCAGTTCTGTCTTCCTTTTTTCTGAAATTCCAAAACATCTTGGTTTCTATCAAGATAGTCTAACACATTTGAAATTATTCCGTTTGCTTGGTCGTTAAATCGCTTCATTTTCGACTGGAACAAATGACAAATTTTAAAATTTGACATAAGACTCTACGAACGACTCAAAATTTGGTGATTTTTTTGTCTCGCACAATGTGCATAAGATATAAAGATAAAAAGTTTGACTTGGGCTAAATCCAGGACTTTGGATACCAAACATTAAACAAAGCCCTGTAAAACGTCTGAACCAGCTGGAGATAATGCCTTTATCGATGAAATTAGTTATCTGTAGTTATAATCTGGTCCCGGTATGAAAAGTTTGGTTCAGTCCAATATTTTTGCCACTCCTCAAAATGTCACATGTAAGGTCTGCAACTCGTCTTTTAATTTAAATAAATTAATATATGCCATGAAAATTCTTTTAAGAATTATTTAAAATAAAATTCGCCGTAAATGTGAGGAGCAGACTCATACGAGACCTGAATGGTTCGGATTTAAAGAGGAATGCGCTTCAGAGAAGCCCTGTTCTCTTTACAAGCATTAACACAAAAATGCACAGATCGACGAAAGGATTTATGCATCTGCTTCATAAATTTTGAAAGGGTCTTTGGCAGTAAAGCAGAATATACTCTTACAATGCCTTGATAAAATTGGAGTTCATCACAGAAATACTCGCGTTATTGTAAACATGCAGAAACTAGTCAAGAGTGCATTCTATTCCTCCCCCCCCTTATCCCATGATCAGTCGGAACGCACATTTTAACTATTCTGAATGGTTATTACTTAATGAGAAAAATATATACCTAACAAATAGCCGCAATGTGGACGATGCAATGATTAAACATTGAAATTTTGTAACCATACGTATAAAAATCTACATAAGAAAAACAAAAGTAATGAAACATCTTATCCAAAAATCTAAATTTGCCTATGATGGACTGTTAGAAATCTCACAAAATTCAAGTACCTGGCATTAAATAAAGAATAAGCTAGACCCTACTATAGAAATTAAGACACGAACAGAGACTGAAGATCAAAATTTTATTGATGTGAAGAAAATGTTTGCTTGCGTTGGCCATATTCTTAAAACCTTACATAATATGATTCTTATTATTATACGGAACTGAAAGGTGGAGTCTGAATGTTGCGCTGACAGAAACTAGAAGGTTTCGACCCCTGGTTATATGGAAGAATGTTGAAAATTCCATGAGTAGCTCATATAACAAATGAAGAAGTACTACCGAGAATGTGAGCATTTAAAAGTACTCGTAATTTAGGACCAACAGACATAACATTTGTAGAGACTATACACGTATGAGTGAAACAGAAAAACTAAACTAATTCTACAAATTACGATAACCGAAGCACAATGCGACTTTCGCTCAATAAATAAAACATTGCGTTTTATATTCATTTTCGATGCTGTAATTCACATTTGGTTAAAATATGAAAATACCTCAGCAATAACTTGAAGTGTTTATGTTTATACATCGGAAGAATGTCACGAAAAAATTCATTGCGGTTTATTAATTAAACCACAATGGAACAAAATGTTTTGAATATTGTTATTATCAAATAAGGACGTATGTATTATCACATTTTCCAGACAATGGGGTGATTCGTTCCTCTTAAAAAATTTGTGATCAACAGAAATAATATTGGTCAGAAAAAAAGAAGAAACTGCCAAGACCACGAACGTTTACAACGTATGTTAGTGGTAAACTCTTATTTTTTTTTAGTAATTTGACCGTTCAGCGAAAAAACCACAAGTATAAGAGTATATTGTTGTATAATATTTGATTTGATTAGCCAAATTTTGGTTAGCGTTTTACCATGCACATGATATTCTTAATATACAGTGTGAGTTAGTTAAAAGGGGACACCGCGAATTACTTTTTTATTTATGAACTTATCTTAATGGAACTTAGTAATAAATAAATTATAAATAAAGGCGAATGAGTTCTATGAATGCATCACTTCATTCACATGACAGTAATTGATAAAAAGCCAAATAAAAAAAAATGTTGCAAACATTTATCGGAATTTTTATTTTACTATAAATAAATTGAGAAAAAAATACTCTCTAAAGTTCAATATTTACTACTTTTGATACGTTTTATTTACCCCTGTAAAATAATATTTTCTTAAAGCATTTTGTGCACTGTATCTTTGAGACTCATGAAATTATATAATTTATTATGTTTTTTTGAACAATCCAATCCAACATTTTACCATAAAAATTGCAATAATTTACGAATATTATATAATGAAGCTACTAAATATTCTATAATTTTTTACATTTGTTATTAAAAATACACTGTAAAATCTGAAAAATAAAAAAATGTAAGTGGTATTTTTGCAATATACTTTTTTGGCAGCTTCTTCTAAAGCAATGAATTTACGTATGCAAAATTTAACATTAGTTTTGGCTAATAAGTATGAAAATTATTCGAGGTGTCACTTTTTAGCTGACTCACCCTGTACATACAAAATTTGATAACAATTGGTCCACTAATTTCGGAAATTATCTGTCTAATAAAAATCGACACGGATAGACGGACAGACGAACAGACCAAAACGAGAGATATTTTTTTTCGTCTTAATCTAGGTATCATGAAACGTCGAGAAAACATGAAGCTGGCAAGTCGCCCGATGGACTCTATTAGTATAGTTCCTTTTTGCTTACGGTTAGTAATAAGTGGATATTTGGAATTAAATGAGACGCTTTGAAGGTATTATAGAGTAAAACTAGTAAAAATTAGATATTCATAAGGCAATAGTTATATCTAATTATTCTTTTTCAACCAGAAGAATAACCCTTCATTAAAGTACTAAAATATCAGGTGCACTTAAAAACCCATTTCTTTACAAAAACCTTCAGACAAAGATTTATAGGAGCAGAGTGAAATAATTGACGAGCATGCCATTCCGAGTTAAAATTATGACTTTACGGTTAAAACGGATTTTGAAAATTTCAAGATCGAAATATGTGGAGTAAGTTGATTTAGAAACATGTATTTTGTATTTTGTAAAGGTTTTAACTACAATATAATTTCAGAACAAATGCGCAATTTAGAAGTTAATAATTAAGGGCTATCGGTTTTATAACCGTTTCCAAATAATTAGTTTCCAAGAGCTATTTCCGGGATAAATATTTTTGAGATTCAGTGAAATATGTTTTATGTAGGTAATTTCTTCTGCTTTAAGTCAGAAATTCTTAAAATGTATTTAATTAGCTTTGAAATTAATAGAAGCTTTCTTCCAAAAATTTTGACAATGTTATTTCTTAGATCATAAACTATGCTTGAGGTTTTATTAAAGACACGATTTTATAAATTTGGAGATATTTTAGGTGAATAAACTTTAAAAGACAACATAATATAAAAAACATCAATACCAAAATACCACTTTACTTTTTTTTTTAATTTCAGGTGAACCTTTGTGTCAGTTGCAGTAACCATAATGTGTGGCTTGCGGTCCTTGTGTGCTCTTTTGCTACATTCAACATCCTTCACACACTTCAAAGCACCTGCTTATTGGTGGTTTCCCCAGACACCATTTAACGATTGCAGACCATTCAGTACATCTTTGACTTTCAACGAAATTTGTGGCCTGTGCGGTTACATCTTACCCCAACTGCCACTGCATCTTTAATGAACCGTGAGACTTCCACTTGATTGCTAAATCATGAATCAGATCTATTTTCGGGCAGTACTGAATTGAGATTGAATATCCAAATTGGACTATTCTCGTGCAAAAACTGGTTTAGTGGAATTTCGCTCTACAAACCTGTTAAATCCTGCTTGATAAAATTGTGTTGACGGTATATTTTCTAGCTATTAGAAACGTGCCCCGGAATAAATTTCAATAATCACCTGATGAATTTTTTAATACCTCTTGAACTCGTAGTCTAGTCGCTGTTTTTAATATAATGATTGTAGCGAAACATCGTTTTTATCCCAATTTGTTTTCGTAGTTTACCGGAACACTCTGCCAAAGCAAATCAATGAAAGCACTGAAAATAATTAAATCCTCACACTCGTGTCACATAACCGTAAAACAATGCCAATTTTGTACAAATTTAATGTCCGAATCCAACTACGTTCGAATAATGTATTGGATGTTCCCCGCAGGTGGCACCGACGATCGAAAAACAATGGATCGATGGGTAGTTCATCAAACAACAATTTGTTCAAAATAATGAAAAAGGAATTATTGCGCATAACAAACAAATACTTCGACAAGAAATATATTTTCACTAGTAGTGTTTTGAAGTTTTGGTTGTCAGGAATAAATAGACAAAATATGATATTTATGTTTGGTACACTAATACTAAATCTGCAAATTGGTTCTAAGCATGCGACGTTTTCAGTGTGACAAAACTCATTTCAGTAATTTTGTGTGAAAATTCAAAGTAATATTTTTGTTGTGTTTATGGTTCTCAATACACAATACGTAATATTTGCATATTTTAGCTCTTGCTAAAATATAAATATATGCAGGACTCATTAAAAAACAAGGTCGTATTTCCACTACCTAATTTGTTAGAAGAATCCACGCATTATTTGTGAGGGACTTAAAAGTCGCTAATTGGGCATTAACATTTACATTATATTACCCACGTATGAGGTTGATTACCACATAAAGCCAAAACCGCGGCGCGCAATTGCACCAAACATTCATAAATTGTAAATTGTATTTTGGTTATCCCTTGGAGGACGCAGCCAAGGACTAGGTATAATATATCTTGTTTAAATGGATGATGAGGTGCTGTGCATGGAAGGAACATGGGACCATCATTAGCTCTTCTTGTAATACAGAGAGATTTCAATTATCCGCCTAGGTAAGTGTTATTTTTGTTCCGTGCCCTGTCAGATTTCGTGACGAGATTAACTCAATATAAACTCCTTCTGTCCCAAATTAAGTTTACGATTTGGAAATAAATTTTGTCTTAAAATAAGTAAATGTATTCTTTAATGAAAAATTAATATTATTACAACGAATATAATATCTTATAATAAGTTTTGACATAATATTGAACTTTCCTTGCAATTAATCAAAACAATTAGTTAAAATTTTGGATTTTATTTTCAGTTTGTCCTCATCTATCATGTTAATAAAATACATTTTCTCAGATTTTACGTATTTATTCCGTTGTTCTCAATCATGTAAAACAACATTCACAAAAAGAGACGTTTGAGAATCGTCCAGCATGCCAAATTCGACAGTTTTCATGGCTCCGCACTTAATCTTTCTGTTTCCACATACTTCAAGACGAAACTACAGTAGATGCCCGACCAGCTTCTTCTGTTAAATTAGCCTTCTTTCTTTGAATTAGGGCAACTGGCTTTATTTCCAGGGCATATTATCTCTACACCGGTGTTTTAAACAGGCTCTTTAAATTCGTTTAGAAACAAAAAAGAATTGTTGTTACCAAAACAAACACCTTTCAATTTTTTTCATATTAAAATGTGTTATTTGACGTACACCAAATACGTGGTAAACAAAACCTCTTCGTCTTTAAAAATAAAGTGTCCGATTTCTATTGCAAAATATAGAAATCGGACACTTACATTTTAGGACAGAGGGACTAATAACTAGCTATTACACAACTGTTTATTTTGGGAAACCTTACCGCATGCACGCTTGTTTTTTTAAGGTTACTACGGCAACGGAAAGTAAAAAGCACGCGTGCGAGAAATTGGACTTCTCGTACCTTGGTGAGTGTGCGAAATTAATCAAAAACGATAAGGAGCGCAAAAACCGACACAATATTAGGGTTGATGACCTTATAGCTGGTTTTCTACAAGAACTAAAACAATACAAATGGAAGACATACGAACTGTATACCTTCCATTTTTGCTGTCTATTTTACTTCTCGACTGCAAGCCAAGGAAGTAGTGACCTAGGCTAGGGTCCATTCGTAGAACTTCTACTATCGTGTGAGTCGATATTTATTAGACAGATAATAATCTTTGAAACTGCTAGGCTGACTGTTGTCCAACTTTATAAGTACTTTAGGAATATCGTGTAAATGCCAAAAGGCTAACCAAAATTTGTCTAATCATCCCCGCTAACAATTTGATGACGTCAATTCAAAATTTTGGACAATCCTATATTTGTGGTTTATGAATTCGCCTCCATTCTGTAACGCAGACATTTCGATTTTCGAAAAATAAAATCAAAATTGTATAACAATATTTTAAGATTAAACTTACAATATGCAAAACTGAGTGCTCTGAAATCTTATAAACGATTTAAGAATGTCGTAGTCTAGTAAAGGCTTCATCCAAAATTATTTTTTTATTACTCCCAAAAGCTTGATGAGGTATCTCAAAATTTTGTTGAATAAATTCAATCTAAAATGTGCAATATACTATAGGTCTACATTTGTGGATCTACGATAATTGGTAGCGAACAATGTTTGTTACTATCCGTCGGTATGAGTTCGCAGTAAAGAAATACGCAGTGGACTTAAATTAGCGTATATATTAAGACAGTAACAAAACAAGTGTTCTTTACAAGTTATTCCTACGAACTAAAGGCACATATGTCTCGAGTGGCCAGATTGCCCCTCGAGGGTTGAGGGCGGTACGACCCGAAGCGAAACCCGATATCGGTCGAGTCTGCATGAAACGAAACATCCTCCCGCCCGGCCGTACACGTCTAAAAACAAAAAAACAAAGGGTCTACATGGCTACGATTAATCTTACACGGTCACCGCACTGTCTTCCATGGGTAACACACACAGACGATTGACGGCGCGTTTTGTCACTCCGGTGCCTGTTTTGACAGTCACAACCCGCACAATGTTGTCACTTCCTGGATGCAATTCCACAATACGACCCAATTTCCATTGTAGCGGTGCGATATTTTCGTTCTTAAGGACAACCATTGCTCCTACCTGAAGAGGGATCGGATTTTCGCGACGCCACTTAGTCCGCGTTTGGAGACTTGTTAGATATTCTCTCGTCCACCTTTCCCAGAAGAGTTGGCGAAGTTGTTCAACCCTTTGCCATCGAGAGAGGCGATTTTCCGGCAGATGTAGAAGGCTTGGTTCCGGTGGTGCCGTCAAGGATGTGCCGATTAGAAAGTGTCCCGACGTCAGAGGGTCCAGGTCGTCGGGGTCATTACTCATGGGAACAAGGGGGCGTGAATTAAGAATAGCTTCGATAAGGGTTAGTAAGGTACTCATCTCTTCCACAGTAAGAACTGTGGTGCCCGCTACCCGTTTAAAGTGGTATTTAAATGACTTGACCGCCGCTTCCCATATTCCTCCAACGTATGGAGAATTTGGTGGAATAAACTTCCACGTAACCCCTTCGTCGGCCAAGTTGCTAACGACTCGTTTTTGAAAAACTGTTGATTCAAGTAACCTTTTGAGGTCTTGGAGCTCCCGATATCCGCCGACGAAGTTAGAACCATTGTCTGAATACATATGTGCAACTTTACCGCGTCGTGCCATCATACGTTTTAACGCATTTAAAAAACATTGAGCGGAATAGTCGCGTACGAGTTCTAAATGTACCGCTTTTGTAGCCAGACAGACGAATACGGCGATATAGGCTTTAAAGTTTCGTTTACCTCGCCCCGGACTTTCTTTAATTAATATTGGCCCACAATAATCGATGCCGCAGTTTTGAAACGGCCTAGCAGGAGATACTCTGTCGGCTGGCAAATTACCCATTAATTGTTCATAGCTAATAGGTTTTACTCTTTGACACCTGATGCAATTATGGATTATTTTTCTTACAATACTTCTGCCAGAAAGTGGCCAAAACAACTGCCTCACCGCCGCCAACGTTGCCTGAGGTCCACCATGGAGAGTGTCCCCATGTGTGTCGCGTATTATTAACTTTGTAATTATGTGGCTTTTTGGTAGTACCACTTGATGTTTGGCCTTAAAGTCTAAGTTCGCGTTTCTTAGGCGACCTCCCACTCTAAGGATCTCATTTTCGTCTAAAAAGACATTAAGCGGGGTTAATTTGCTGCGTTTGCTTAATACGTGTTTGTTTTTGAGGTCACTAATTTCTTGACCGAATTCTTGCTTCTGTATAAACTTAATGATATATTTTTCGGCAGTTTGAAGTTCATTTAGCTTTAATTCACCCGTTAATTTATCTGTTTTATGAGTGCAATTGTGTATAAATCGATAACAGTAAGCTAATACTCGTTTTAATTTTTTGTAAGTGCTAACTCGATGGAAAACGTTTAAATCTGGTTGTGTTTGAGACACTAGTGTTACATTGCGTCTTTCCGGCGGAAGTTCTGTTACATGACTAGGAGGCTTAGGCCAATGTGACGAATCTTTTAATAGAAAAGCTGGACCATGAAACCATATAATAAATTTTTCCCGGTCACTAGGACACATACCCCTTGTAATTATATCTGCAGGATTTTGTTGACTATTTACATAGTGCCATTGTTCCCTTTTTGTCATTTCCTGAATTGCCGCCACCCGGTGTGCGACAAAGGGCTCCCATCTTTTTGGCTCAGCTGCTATCCAAGATAGGGTTATCATAGAGTCTGACCACAAATAAATCTTCCCAACGCATATATCCAACGTGTTAATAATCTTCACTGTAAGTTTTGCGAGAAGAACCGCCGCGCATAGTTCCAGTCGCGGAATTGTTGTTGGTTTAAGTGGAGCAACACGAGATTTTGAACAAAGTAAATTTATTTGTCGTTGCTTGTTTTCACCAACGGCAACTACATAAATCGCGGCCCCATAAGCTTCTTTACTAGTGTCACAAAATCCATGTAACTCTAGAATTTGCGGAGAAAAGTAATTAATACATCGCGGAATTACAAATTCGTCGATTCGGTGTAAATTTGCGCAAAAATGGTGAAAGGTTTCGCTTAATTCAGATGGTATCGGTTCATCCCAGTTTAATTTAAGTTGCCACAATTTTTGTAATAAGATCTTTGCTACTATTAACATTGGGCTTAAGAGGCCTAAAGGGTCAAAAATTTTAGCAATAATTGATAAAACGTTGCGTTTCGTGGCCACCTTAGGCAGTTTAATCGCGGCCAATTGGTATTTGAATAAGTCCCTTTGACAATTCCAAGTTAGACCTAGTGCTTTGGTTTCAAAATTACTGTCCAATCTAACAACTGCGGTATTATTTTCACTATCCTGGTTTGGTAAAAGCTTAGTTTCATTCGAGGCCCACTTGTAAAGTTCAAAACCTCCGCCCTTTAAAATATTGTTTAGGTCGTCACGTAACTTGATACCTTCGTCTACGTTATCCACCCCGACTAACAAATCATCCATGTAGAACGAATTCAAAATCGTTTTTGCAGCTTGTGGGTAGTCCGCACTTGCCTCGTATGCCAATTCTCGCAAACAACGCATTGCAATTTAAACCATATGTTACCGTTTTTAGTCGAAATACTTGTATCGGTTCCGTCTGATCAAATCTATACGCGATACGAAGTAAATCCCGATCTTCAGGTCGTACCCATATTTGTCTAAACATTTTTGAAAGATCAGCTGATAGTACGTATTTGTGTAAGCGACATCTAACTATAATCGAGAACAAATCTGCTTGCAAATTAGGCCCTGTCATTAAGTTGTCGTTTAAGCTCTGCCCATTACTTGTCCGGGAACTAGCATTAAAAACAACTCGAGTTTTGGTGGTAAGACTCGTTTCTTTAATAACGGGATGGTGGGGTAAGTAAACACACTGAATGGAAGGATCGTCCGGAACTGTAACCCTTTCCATGTGATTTAACGCAAGATATTCCCCTAGAAATTTGTTATACTCGTCCCTTAAACCGTGGTTTCGTCCGAATTTACCTTCAAGGCTTTTAAATTGGTTTATTGCGGTTCTTTTTGATTGGCCAATATCCAGAGGTCTTGTTTTAACGGGAAGCGCTACTAAAAACCGACCATCTGGGTCCCTTTTAGTTGTAGTGACGAATGAAATTTCGCAGGCTTCGTCGTCAGTGGTGAAATTTACGTTATTATCCATGCCCTCCAATTCCCAGAATTTTGACATCTGGTGCTCCAGACTGTTGGTGCTTAAGAGGCAGGAATTTTCTCTTGGCCCTTGACACTGCAGACCCACATTTGTATATGGGCCGCCCACTAGCCACCCAAAGCAGCTGTTCTGTACATAAGTAATGTTGTTTTGTAATTTTATACGCCCTTCTCTCAAAATGTCGTAAAATAGTCCGGCTCCGATTAAAAGGTCTATTTCGCCCGATATATAAAATTCAGGATCCGCCAAAGTTAAATTATCCGGTATTCGCAATGGTGTAGGGTCAAATGTTTCGACTGGTAAATTATTGGTGATTTCTGGCAGTACCAAACAGCTGATTGGGTTTGAATAATTGTCACAAATTGATTTAATAAAGACCTTTGCAGCCCGAGTGAGAGTAGTACTAGTTTGCCCTATACCAGCAATAGACACCTGACATTTATTTAAATTTAGTTTTAACAGTCGGCATAATTTATCGGTGATAAAATTACTATCACTACCGATGTCCAAAAGCGCTCTAACTTTGTGAAGCTGGCCATTACCGTCCCTAATTTTAATTACGGCTGTGGAAAGCAACGTGAGTGACTTAAATTCAGTCGAACAGCTATGGTTATTTACACTTTGCGGTTCCCTTTTTTGTAAGTGTAGTAATGTGTGGTGCCTGCCATTACACGTTCTACAATACCGGGAGGTACATGATCTAGCGTCGTGGCCCTCGCGTAAACAATTTAAGCAAAGTTTTAGCCTTTTTACTTCGTTAATGCGGTCTTGGATGCTAAGTTGTAAAAAAGCCGTACATTGTTGTACGAAACAATGGGATGATTGTTTACACTTTGGACATATCGTTAATTTACGTTTAACTTCGGGAAACTTAGATTTTGTGAAGTTGTACCGCGGGTTTTCCGAATTTACTTCGAAAGAGTTGCAAAATTCCATTGATTCAAGTGTTTGGCAACGCTGTGATATGAAGGTCGTCATTTCCTTCAGCGTTGGCAGTTCATTGTTTTTTAATTTTGATTCCCATTCCCGTTTTGTCACAAAGTCAAATTTTGTGGACACCAAATAAATAAGAACTGGATCCCAATTAGTTACATCTAAATTTTGAGCTTTTAGCGACTCTAAATTTGCATTTAACTGATCTAAAAGCGTCCGCAATGAATTTGGAGATTTGTTAACTTGTGTTAAATTAAAAAGGCCGTGGATGTGATTGTGAACAATTAAGCGCTTACTATGATAACGCTCTTTGAGTAATCGCCAAGCAGTGTCATAACTTTGAGCGGATATAGATAGATTATCAATAATTCGTTTTGGTTCGTCCCCAAGGCAGGAACGCAAATAATGCAATTTTTGTATTTTTTCTAAGTTGGTGTTTTCATGAATAAGGGTACGGAAACTATCGTAAAAGGCCGTCCAACTTGTATATTCCCCGTCAAAATGAGGTAACTCGATAGTGGGCAATTTAATATCGGTAGAACTACTAGATGGCTTAATTGTAAACTTATCGATTAATTCTTCCGCCTTTGAACATAATTCGTAGTAACGGTTTTCATATTCAAATCGCTCGTTTTCGTCTGGCTCGGCGGGATCGGCATCATTTTCAATTGTTAATAATTCAAGTTGATCTTGTGCTTCAATAAACTGTTTTAATAGCGGTTTAAAATTGTCATAACGTAAACACAATACCCTAACTTGATCGGCAGATTTGATCGTATTCAAAAATTTATCAAAATTCGTGGTAGTCGTACGTATTTGTCTTTTTTTTGTTTTTAAACTGGCTTCCGTCATTTTGGAAGAGGTGAGTACGTCAAAGGAGACAAATGAAAAAGTGTGAAGACAGGAAGAATAATGACCACCGACCTGTCCTTTGTTGTGGCGTCCTGTGGTTTGTCGCGTGGACAAGGGTGGTTTCAGTGATTATGTGCAGCTTCCGCAGGGATGTCGTCACCACGGGGGGCTCGATCCGTCGGGCGTTCTGGGCGTCGTGGCGTTGAATGCTCGGCACCAGTACTTCTTTTGCTGCCGCGTCCTGGTTGGACGAGTGGATGGGGTGGACGTCGATGTCCGTGTAAACTGCTGAAGAGGATGTCGTCACCGCAGAGGGCTCGATCCGTTGAACTTCCTGGGCGTCGTGGCGTCGTAAGCTCGGCACCAGTTGTTCCCTGTTTTGGCGTCCTGGTCTGACGCGTAGATGAGGATAGCGCCGATGTCCGTGTGGAGTTCAAAATGAGGATGTCGTCACCACCGAGGGCTCGATCCGTCGTATTTCCTGGGCGTCGTCGCGTCGTAAGCTCGGCACCAGTAATTCACTACACACGTCGTCGCGATCCGGCTCGAAGGACCATTTTTTGTTTGTTACTATCCGTCGGTATGAGTTCGCAGTAAAGAAATACGCAGTGGACTTAAATTAGCGTATATATTAAGACAGTAACAAAACAAGTGTTCTTTACAAGTTATTCCTACGAACTAAAGGCACATATGTCTCGAGTGGCCAGATTGCCCCTCGAGGGTTGAGGGCGGTACGACCCGAAGCGAAACCCGATATCGGTCGAGTCTGCATGAAACGAAACAAACAACAAAATTTATCGCAAGGTTTTTACAATTTTTGATGTTTACTATAAATTAAATTAGTTGGATATTAATAGCAATAAATGTAAGGTGATGTTTTACACCCGTAACATTAATAAAATCAATTTTGATTATACCCTTCTTAGTAGTGATATTATGAGAGTCTCCGCAATTGCTGATTTGGGAATAATTGTTGATACCTAGATGTCATTTAATGAACATATCAAGTATGTGATAACAATGTCGAATAAATTGTTGGTATTTATTAGGCATAATACCAGAGAATTTGATAATATTGATGCACTTAAAACTTTATATTTTTTTATTTGGCCTGGTGAGATGTAAATTGGAATATTGTTCTGAAGTTTGGTTTCCCTATGATATGCAACAAAGTAAAGCTTTGGAAAACGTACACACGCGTTTTTTGAAATATTTATATTTTAAAGATAAAAGAATATATCCTCCACAAGGTGTGATATAAAGGGATTTGCTATATAAGTTCAATATAGACTCTTTAAAATTTAGAAGACTAGTGCACAGCGTCTCTTTTATTTATAAACTTATACATGGTAAAATCTCCAGTTCTGACATTCTACAGAAAATTAATTTTGTTGTGCCAAGGCTTGAGACGAGACATTAATATACATTTAAATTACCAATATGTAGGACAAATGTAGGGCTGAAATCGCCGATGCGCAATATGTGCCAATATTGCAACGGAATCAGCAGTAGAGTTGATATCTATATCTATACTCCTATACCTATATTATAAAGCTAAATATTTTGTTTGGTTGAACGCGCTAATCTCAGAAACTACTGGTTCGAATTCAAAAAATGTTTTTGTGTTGGATAGTCCATTTATCGAGGAGGGCTATAGGCTATATAGCATCACGCTATGATCAATAGGAGCGGAGCAGCAATGAAAAATATCGGAAAAGCGGGAAAATTATTCCTTCTTTGACAGCCTCTGTTGCTTACGCTGCTTAAACGGTGAAAGTTATGTAAAAATCATGTAGGATAAACGTGGTAGACGCATGACGTCATATAGAGTCCGTGACGTGTACGCATTGCTTCATGATTCCTAGTATATCAATTTATACGGTCAAAGGCTTTTTGGCATTTTTGGGCAAATTTCGTACTTTTTTTTTTGAGTCAGTAAAGATTGGAATTTATTGAATTTACATCCGTTAAGCAAGAATAGAATTTCTGTCATCTGGAAACATGTTCGTTACAAGAAATTTTTGAGAGAGAAATGTAGAATATTGACTCTCAACATGAACATTTTAAAATATTTTTCTCTATTACCAATGTGTTTTCTGATTCAGAAATGTTCGTATTTTTGTTTTATTTGTTTTATTATTATTATTATTATTAATATTATACAAATCGATCGGGCAGAGGCCGAAGCCTGTTATGCCCGCGCAGTTCAGAGTGATAAATACAGGTTACATACAGGTTAAATACACATCTAAGTACTAGCGACATCTAGAGTATCATATCTAATTTTAAAACTAATGACGGAAGGACTGCCCAGTGATGAAAGACTCTGTTGGAGATAAAGAACTGTCGGATTGTAGTTCTAAAAACCTCTCGAAGCAATTTAAAACGGTGCCCTCGGGTTCTTTGGTCGGTATTTAGAGTGAATAGGTGACGAATTGGAGACAGCTGATTCGTCAACGCCTGGAAGGTGACAATTAAGTCGCCTCTCAGGCGCCTTTGAGTCAAACTGGTCAAATTCATAAGTGACAGCCGTTCGGAATATTGAGGACGTGTTCTACCAAACGGGACTCTTGTTGCTCTTCGTTGTACAGATTCCAGCAGAAGTAAGTCTCGTTGTAGAATGGGGGTCCAGACAGCGTTAGCAAAAAAATGTGGAACGCTTCACGATTTTGCGTGTCATCCTTGCGCTTTTTATTGTGTTAACAACAATAAAAATAAAACCAATATTTCACAAAACAAAGTTACATTTATTTTCAATAATGACAAAAATTAAATACTATCAAGTAGGCACGGTTGCTAGTGATCTCAAACAGATGGGATACAAGAGTTTTAAAAAGCATCGTGCCCAAAAGATAAAGCCTGAGGACTACTTCTCACGTATGGAGTTTTGCGAAGATACGCGTGAGAAAAGCTGGGGTTGTGGAGACTTTTTAAGGAACATTTGTTTCACTACCGTATGTTCATTTGGTCTTATGGGAGGTTATAATCGTCAGAACCATCGAATTTATTCATTACAGAACATTTCTGTAATGAACCCTCACGTGGTCCTTGACCATCGAAATCAATGGCCTGCTTCTAGGACATCAAGTCATTGGACCTTTTTTATAGAATCTGAATTGAATGCGCAAAAGTACAACAATATGCTAGCTCAGTTAATTAATACTTTCTAGGATTCGAGGGGTGCGGCCTATGCAACAGGTATTTTACATGCAGGACCGAGTCCACAAGCATAAAGCTAAAATATTTTGTGCAATCTGTGCATTTATAGTGTTTAAATTATCCTACATTAATCATCACACTGGATAATGTAATCCAATTTGAGTTGTTCAGTGATTACTGAATGGAGCAGCCCCAGTAAATCCCTAATTTGACGGGCCCCCAGGACGTATCACTATGCTGCCGATGGACGAGCTGCTCGAAGGGCTTCATCTCGGGCTTTTTGATACAGCCTGGGTGTAGTCGGAGATGGGATTGCCGCACTACGACCAGGAGTTTCGTGGAGGGATTCATGTGCTGTACCTAGCGCCAATAAATGGATTACTTTGTGCGTTTATTCCGTTTAATTTATGGTACAATAGTTATTAGTTATTGCACTTGATAAAATAATTCAATTTGAGTTGTTCAGCGATTTCTGAGTGAAAATCGAGGAATCATTTCTAAATTCCCCTCAAATTTCAAAATACGATTTTTAAAGCCTTTTTACGACGAACAATACGTCTTATTTTGCTAAATATATAAAACATTTTCGACTTATGTCTATATAAAGTTTTAAATTTATGAATTTATGACTAGCAGTTCCGTTTACTTTTCGAGTAATTATTTACATATTGCACCAACAGGACCTGGCCAAATTATCTGAACTATTGATAGCCTTAGAAACGATGAATCATCTGGAATAGACAGAACTAAAGTAGAAGTAGAACTTCTAAATTACTTTCTAAAAAAAACTACAACGATCAGCAATTGGCTCACTGCCTTTAAACACGTATAATATTTATAACCCAATTAAGAAAAAGACAGGAATAAGTAATTATCGGACCGCTTCAGGCCATATTTGTAAAAATAACAGCAAAATGATTCAAATTAGAATGGATAAATTTATTAGCAATTATGAAATAATATCAAATAGCAGTTTGGATTTAGAACAAAAATAACAACGGATCACGGTATGCTTAAACTTACACAATATATATTCAATTCGTTAGACAAATCTAAACCTTCTTTATGCGTTTTCACGGATTTGGCCAAAGCCTTTGATACCGCATGGCATCCAAAATTATTGAAGTGTTTAGAAAATCTAGAATTTAAGGGAAATGCGTATAAATTAATTGAAAGTTATTGATAGGAAAGACCGAAGTATGTAGTTTTAAAAAATTACTTGATTAGAACAATATAATTTGAAGTTCCGCATGGGACGACTCTAAGTCTGACCTTATCTCTTTTTTACAAAAATAATGTTTTCCGTCATAATACATCGGGAGAAATAATTAGTTTGCTGGCGACACGGCCATTTGTTACAATTAGAATCCCCGGGAGTAGGTAAAAACATTCGTAGATAATTTTCACGAAATAGAAATCAAAATTGATGACAGTACGTTTTATGAGATACGCGAAACAAATCATATAAAATATTTAAGAATAATTATTGACAGATATCTAAGATATAATTTTTCTTTGTAACATGTAAGACTGTGTTATAAAAAAGAAATTAAGATAGTCTTCATTTCTATAAAATCAGAAAAAAATTCTGTAACGTTTACACCTCCGGTGTAGGTTAACTAATTGCCTAAAATATCAGCATTAGCAGTTGAACTCCTAATGAAATCGTTGAAGTATTTATGTAACTGTAACTAATGTAAGAAAATTTAAACTGATTAAATACACCACAGCAGTGACTGAGTAACCACAAAACGGGTTTTGTATATCTATTTCTTATTAAAATCAAACGTTCATAAACCACCGTCACTCTGAACATATTGTTATATGCTAAAAATAGCTCTAGCTAAGAATAAAGATATCGATATTAGCAGGTACGCCAACGTAATTACATATTTGGAAAGGTGCTTCGACAGCAATGGAATCAAGATATCTAAGGTCTCCAGCAAAGAGAATATCGAATATCACCAATAACCAAGTTCTTTATTTAAGTTCATTTTTCGAGGTTGCTGTGACTTTAACATCTCAAGGGGGTACGGGAGAAAAGAGCTGAGTCGCGTGTTAGTTGGAGACGTGAAAGATAAAGGAGATGTTTACCAGGTCGTCATACACTTTACCAAGATAAAGTGTTCTCGAGAATTCATAATTATTTCAGGAAACATTAAATGATTAAATCTGTTAGCAATTATTCTCAAATATGCTTACCTTTGTTTTCGCGAACTGATGGTCTGAGATATTTTTAATTTTTAGTTTTATAACTCGTACATTTTCCTAGCAGGAAGTTGAACTGTTAAAATAATATTGCTGATACTGATTATTGCAAAACTAGTCCAATAAATTTGTCATCATCTAATGATTAAAACTTGAAATTTGAATTTTACAAAATATGACAATCGACTGACTTAATAAGAACGATTAGACCGGTAATAAATCTTGGGAAAAATATGTACTGTAAATTAGATATGAAGCATTTAGGCAACCAGTTATACAGATGCGTGTGGTATTTGTCGTGAGTTTTTGGCCATTTTGTAAAGTTCATATAAAGTGATAGGCGGCACGTTTTCGTTTTCATGACCTGTTTCAACTCTGTAATCGTTTATAGAAACCCTGTATATTGTTTCACAGACGAAGTTTTAGTTTTAATTGTTTTTTTCAATCAAATAATTGGTTGCTACTGAAACGACTGAACAACATACTTTACTTTTTACTTGAATAATAACAATTCCGGAATTTTCTTCTTCTAGAAAGCATTGGTAATTCAATTAATAATGAAGCCCAAAAAACAAAAATTCGAGATACTCTCTAAACAATAAGTATTTTCTTATCCTGTTTGTGAGTTTTCAGTAAATAAGGATTAGGTAATGATTGTAGAAAATGTTTTTGTCACAATCACTACCATGACTCTTGTGTAAAACATTCGTGCATAATTGTTGTCTACCAATGTTATCTAACAGAATCATTTCAAATTCCAGTGGCAACATCATAATGTCAACAAAACCAACATTCTTCCAGCAGAGGCGGAAAATCGTTGACGATTTAAATATTTAAGATCTGATTGTGTCGCGGTTATGTTCGCAGGATCCAGAAAGGATGTGTATACAAAGCTCCTCACTAAAATTTATAAGTTTATACGGCGTAGATCGAGTCAACTAGCAAGGACATAATCCCATTAGGGTGACCCGGACGGCGGATCCCCTAAACCACTTTGCATCTTT